GTTTAAGAAATAGATTGCTAATCTTTCTTCCTAGTCTGTCTTAGTTGGGAAGCTCCACTAAAACTTGTTCACCAGGGCTAACTCTGCTGGTATCTGAAACACCGCTGGCATAACATCAACATCACAGGAGCACACAAGTCAACACAGTACTATAAACTGACAGAAGAGGGCTGCTACCAAAACACATCTATGCTTTGCCCCAGCCCCCTGAGCAGGGAGTTGCCCTCACAAAAATATTGCCCATAAGTGAAATCGTGAGCAACTCACTGAGTACTCTTGGCCTTGGGGGTGTGGGGGTGCGGGGCACAGGCCATACTAAGGCACCTTCATAGAGCCCTGAGGTACTATCCACCAACAGTGGGGGTGGACAGGGCCCAATCGCTTCATAGAGCAGAGAGTCCCCGGCTACTGAAACTGAAGGCGCACCCACCGTGTGACCCAGCACTTCCATTCCTGTGTTTGCTGTTCAGTCACAGATAGATAGTAGATAGATGATAGATAGATAATGATGTCCTCAATACCCAGAGGTAGTGCATCAGGGCTAGGATCGGCCTAGCACCCTCTCCTCCTGTAAAGGAGCATGCACAGCACCAAACAGGCCACACAACACCAGGGGGTCTCAGAAACATTGCAGTGAGAGGAGGAGGGAGACACTGGAGCACCCGGAATGTACCCTTGCTGTTGAGTCAGCTCCGGCTGAGGGCAATGCCTGAGAGTCTGAACAGAACTGTGTTCCCTAGGCTTATTGGTGGTTGATTTTTTTTGGAAGCAGATCACCAGGCCTTTCTTCTGAGACACCTCTGGGTGGACTTACCCCTCTAACGGTTAGAGTCTAACCCTTCTGTTGGCAGCCAAGTGCTTAACTGTTTGCACTACCAAGGGCCTTTATACCAAATGCATGACCCTGATATTTAAGGTCCAGGAAGTAGGAAAGATTGAACCATAATATCTAAAGAGTGTTCCTAAGACATGTCTGATCAGAGCACACGGGAGCAAATGAATGGGAAGGAAGAGAGGGTGGAGCACATCCTGGCCCACCAGGCCTGGAGGACAATATCCCTGCTCCAAACAGCCAATTCACAGAGTGGACCATATGGCTAATCCCACTATGAGACACGACGTCCCTCACTGACCCATGCCCTATAGGGAACAACACTGGAGACTCAGTGTCAGGATTGACCGGGACTGACCCTGAGACACCAAGGCAAAGCACTAAAGGCGTGCAGCAGAGCAATGGGGGGAGCAAAACAGGGGGCTCCCGGGGGAGTGGAAAGGGCAGACTCTGGGACCAGAGCATGGGACCGCATCAGACTTGACTGGAGGACACACCTAGGGGTCAAAAATCAGACCTTGATCTATTTACAGGTTTTTCTTTCTTTTGTAAATTTTTTTAATTTTTGGTTTTTATTTTTTTAATTAATTTATTCTTTTATGGGTCATTAGTTTTCTTTTTCATTGTCATCATTGTGTTCTCTTCTGTTGCTTTGTCTTGCTATGCCTTGTTTTTTGGCATAGCATATTTTTTTTTTT